TCAGAGTGATAAAAAGGGGAGGGGAGTACTTTTCATTTAACATGCAATTTTTCATTCATACACTGAATTAGGAAAATAAATTCTCATAGAGAAAATTGATGTATCATTCCATTTGATGATTGAAAATTTGCTTTTTATTCTTATTCTTTTTGTTATTTTTATTGTTAATATTAGTGACATCACTAGGTAAATTGTAGGTGCTGTGTCTCAAAGTGAGTTTGCCCAAATACATTATCAGTTACATAAAGTTATTTTTTTACAAGAATTTCCAGAATAAAGTGAAATCTTAGAGCAGGCAAGCATTGTGAGCTGCTGCAATTACAGGCAGTGTGGTGTAGAGATTTCTGATGCATAATTAAAACATCCCATCATAGGGCTAACAGATCCAAAATAGCCCCAATTTCGTCTTTCATGTGATTTCATTTCTTTTTTTTAATATATATTTTTTTTAACTTTTATTTAACGAATATAAATTTCCAAAGTACAGAATATTGATTACAATGGCTTCCCCCCAATAACGTCCCTCCAACCCGCAACCCTCCCCTTATCCACTCCCTCTCCCCTTCCATTCATATTCGATAAAGATTCATTTTCGATTCTCTTTATATACAGAAGATCAGTTTAGCATACATTAAGTCAAGATTTCAACAGTTTGCACCCACACAGAAACATAAAGTGAAAAATACTGTTTGAGTACTAGTTATAGCATTAAATCTCAATGTACAGCACACTAAGGACAAAGATCCTACATGAGGAGTAAGTGCACAGTGACTCCTGTTGTTGACTTAACAAATTGACACTCCTGTTTATGGCATCAGTAATCACCCTAGGCTCTTGTCATGAGCTGCCAAGGCTATGGAAGCCTTTTGAGTTCACTGACTCTGATCATTTTTAGACAAGGCCATGGTCAAAGTGGAAGTTCTCTCCTCCCTTCAGAGAAGGGTACCTCCTTCTTTGATGACCCATTCTTTCCACTGGGATCTCACTCGTGGAGATCTTTCATTTAGGTTTTTTTTTTCCCCCAGAGTTTCTTGGCTTTCCATGCCTGAAATACTCTCATGGGCATTTCATCCGGATCCACATGCCTTAAGGGCTGATTCTGAGGCCAGAGTGCTGTTTAGGACATTTGCCATTCTATGGGTCTGCTGTGTATCTCACTTCCCATGTTGGACCATTCTCTCCCTTTTTTATTCTATCAGTTAGTATTAGCAGACACTAGTCTTGTATATGTGATCCCTTTGACTCTTATTCCTATCATTATGATCAATTATGAACAGAAATTGATCACTGGGACTAGTGAGATGGCATTGGTACATGCCACCTCGATGGGATTGAATTCGAATCCCCTGGTATGTTTCTAACTCTACTGTTTGAGGTAAGTCAGCTTGAGCATGTCCCGAATTGCACATCTCTTCCCTCTCTTATTCCCACTCTTATATTTAACAGCGATCACTTTTCAGTTAAGTTTCAGCACTTAAGAAGAATTGTGTATTGATTACAGTATTCAACCAAAAGTATTAAGTAGAACAAACAAAAAAAAATACTAAGAGGGATAACATATTAAGCTGCTCATCAACAGTCAGGGTGAGGGCTGATCAAGTCACCGTTTCTCATAGTGTTCATTTCACTTTAACAGGTTTCCTTTTTGGTGCTCAGTTAGTTGTCACCTATCAAGGAGAACAAGTCCCTGTTAGGAATTTGGAAAACATTATGTTGAGTGAAATAAGCCAATCCCAAAGGGACAAATACCACTTGTTCTCCTTGATAGGTGATTTCATTTCTTTCTCTGACATGCAGTTGTTGATTGCTGACAAATGAATCTGTCATAAAATCAGTTAACGTCAGATGACCAGCGCATTGACTTAAATGTTCTGAAAAACCTCCTATGTATTGCTAGACAAAGAAAAAATGGTCATATGGGATTTTGTTTTAAACAAATGTTAGAAATCAGGTCAGTCTATAAATTCCATCTTCTAGCACTTTATTTCTAACAAGTAGCAAAATGAGATGCTGGTTATTAAAGTTCTGGTAACATAAACATACTTCTGTTTCTTGTTGTTCTTTCATTATTCTGTTTGGTGCTATGGGGCTGTATTAATTTGTCAAAGGCTAAAATTTTCTGTATTGCGTGGAACTAACAGGAAACAGCATAATCACATTCTAGGAACCTACTTTACAGACAGGGCTAAGATGGTGCTAAGAGGACAGAGGATGAAGGAGATTGGGTCCTCATCCTTAAAATGCTCCTTATCTAGTGGTAGAGACAACACGTTCAGGAACACTTAGTTTAAATTAGGTGGAAGTAGAGGTTGAGTTGAGACCTTGAAGACAGAGGAAAGCAATGAAGGAAAAGAAAAAAAGGAAACAAAGTCAAGATCAGGCGAATGTGTTCAGGAAACTCCAGTGTTCTGATGGCAAAGTGCAGACTGTGGACAGGACGAGCACTGAGAGAGGAGCTGGAAAGAAGGCCAGACCGAGTCCTGTAAACAACCAGGAATCTAAAAGATGCTGACAGAGGATTAAGAGCAGAAAAGAGACTGCTGATAGCTGTGTGGGAAGTGGGACCCAGGGGAAGGCCCCACGGAAATAGCCTATGGAAGAAGTGAGACTTCCTGGCAGTGCAAATAAAGCAAAGGTATTTTGGAGAGAGACTCGGCACTCACAAAGACTCAAGTTTGGCTCTGAAATGACAGATCTGGTTGTTCAAGTGGGCAGTAATAAAAATATAAACAAACTTGGAGGCTATGGAAGTGTGGAGAGATGGGGAGATACTGGGAATAGTTACATCACTGATGAATGTGAATGCCTGCAAGATGTGTGAACGGAATTTTCCAGTAAGCAACTGCAGTCAAAGATTTCAAAGACTGCAAGGCAGTTTTGGAGATACAAAATAAGCAGTCATCCACACAGACATATTAATGAGAACTGCAATTACACAGGGAGAGAAAGCAAACTGAGTACAGGAATGACGACAAAGATGTGTGCAAGGGGAGGAAAGGTGAATCAAAGAAAACAAAGTGTCAGATACGTAGGAAAAGACTCACAAGAGCCAAGAGCCACACAAGCTTAAAAGATGGCCTTCAAAAAGAATTAGTCTAATTAATTCATAATTGCTAGAGCTTAGACTACAATTCACTTGTCCTTTGTACTACATGAATTGATTTAATTATCCACAAGAAAAAAATGATGATGTGTAAAGGTGGTTGAGGGAAATTCTATTTAAGTAGAGGCAGGCAATGGCAGGGACAGCTAAGGAGAGAAGCAGTGATGAAGTTTCAAGCACAGGTCAACACCAGGTCCACAAGAGCTCTGTTAGGGCTAAGGTTGGTACAGAGCTGGCACAGAGAAGGCACTCGCACAGGCCAGCTTTTATCTTATGCAACTGGAGAGGAACCATGCCAGGAGGCAACGACTCTCAGGGTGGGCTGCAAAAGGTACTCTGCTTTAGAGGATAGGAATGAGGAATGCTTCCCTGAAATGCAACAAGGAGAGAAACAGGCAAGAGGGAGAGACACATACAGGAACAGAACTATGGAAGACCTCCAAAGAGTTACGCTGCTTTAAACTCTAGTTAACCATGTTTCAATCAATAAATTTATCAGTAACATCTTATTAAAATCATGTGTTAGTATACATTTTGGGAAGACATTTTAAAGCTCACTTATACAAGCTAAACAATCACAGTTTAAAACTTTGGGAGAGGGCCAGCACAGTGGGTTAAGCCACTGTCCACAGTGCTGGCATCCCATGTGGGCACCGGTTCAATTCCTGGATGCTTTACTTCAGATCCAGCTCGCTGCTAATACACCTGGGAAAGCAATAAAGAATGGCCCAGGTGCTCAGGCCTCTGCACCCACATGGGAGACCCAGAGGAAGCTCCTGGTTCCTGCTTCAGTCTGGCCCAGCTCCCGCTGTTGTGGCCATTTGGAGACTAGCCCAGTGGATGGAAGAACTATCTGTCTGTCTCTGTCCCTCCTTCTCTCTCTGTAACTCTTCCCTTCAAATAAAATAAAACTTTAGAAAAAAAAAACTTTGTAAGATAACTTTTCAGGTTGGGAATATAAGAAAAAAGTATTACTTTGACTACTATTAATAGGCAGAAAGAGTAACATTCAAATTCAGTTAAGGTCCTCATAGAATTTAAACTTCTTTTAAAGCAAAGACAATACCTTGATAAATCACCATTAAAGCAAATATAAATCTACCCATATTTAACACAGTTTGGTGCTTTTAAAGCTTTCTCAGTCAAGTCATTACTAAATGATGTAATGGTTTCAACAGTTGTTCTCAGGTCTTTTTAAAAAATAAAAAACAAACCACTGATTCCATGGGCTTGCACTATGTCCTTTAACCTGGCACGCATTTAAGCTGGGGATGCCACAGGGTCAGACTGTGTGTTGACTCTCTCTCCCTCTCTCTCTCTTTCTTTCTTTTTTTTTGACAGGCAGAGTGGAGAGAGAGAGAGAGAGAGAGAGAGAGAGAGGGAGGGAGGGAGGGAGGGAGGGAGAGAAAGGTCTTCCTTTTCCATTGGTTCACCCCTCAATGGCCGCTGCAGCCGGTGCACTGCGCTGATCTGAAGGCAGGAGCCAGGTGCTTCTCCTGGTCTCCCATGGGGTGCAGGGCCCAAGCACTTGGGCCATCCTTCACTGCCCTCCCAGGCCACAGCAGAGAGCTAGACTGGAAGAGGAGCAACTGGGACAGAATCCGGCGCCCCAACTGGGACTAGAACCTGGGGTGCCAGCACTGCAGGCGGAAGATTAGCCTAGTGAGCTGCGGCACCAGCAACTCTAAGATATAATTTTTTTTAAAAGATTTATTTATTTGAAAGTCAGAGTTACACAGAGAGAGGAGAGGCAGAGAAAGAGAGGTCTTCCATTCGCTGGTTCACTCCCCAGTTGGCCGCAATGGCCAGAGCTGTGCTGATCCAAATCCAGGAACTAGGAGCCTCCTCTGGGTCTCCCATGAGGGTGCAGGGGCCCAAGGACTTGGGCCATCTTCTACTGCTTTCCCAGGCCATAGCAGAGAGTTGGATGGGAAGTGGAGCAGCTGGGACTCGAACCGGTGCCCAAATGGGATGCCAGCACTGCAGGTGGCAGCTTTACCTCTACGCCACAGTGTCGGCCCCCTAATACATTTTTTAGACTCTGGAAATTTCATTTTTTTTTGCTTTAAAAATATTTAAAGTTCACGGGGTGGGAGTTTATTTGAACGGTTAAGATATCCACATCCCACATCAGACTACCTGGGTTCCATTCCTAACTCTGGCTTCTGATTTCTACTTCCTACCACTGCAAGCCCTTGATGGCTCAAGTAGTTGGGGTCCTGCTACCCACATGGGAAGTCTGAATTGAGTTACCAGCTCCCTAGTTCAGCTCGAGCATTTGAGGAGTGAAGCAATGAGTGTAAGCTAGAGCTCTCTCACTCGGTCTCTTGCCCTCTTTCTCTATCCCATAAATAAATAAATAAATAAATAATTTTTAGAAATAGGGTTCAAAAATAATTTTGTTATGTTTTCTGTTCTTTAATGCTGAATTTAGAAGAATAAGGAACAGAAAACCTAAAACTAATTTATTCTAAGTAACACTGGTGATGATATGGAATCTTTACCATTCATTTTATGATGTTGCTTACATATTGTACATATATTTAAAAATATACATAATACAGTTTTCTAAAAGCTTTTCAGGTTTAGATAATCCATTTCAGCAACAGGTTTTAGATTATGACTAATTCTTTAAACACATGGTAACCTATTGTTTTATCTGTTATTTACAAACTGAAAGGAATCCAAACAAAGCATTGTCTCCTAACACAACATGAGACAAGCAGAGAGGAGAAGGAAAAGCTCCCTTGATAGTTCTACAGCTTTCCAAACCCTTCACTCTAAGAAGCAACACATGGCAAAAGCCATATACTTGTACGTGATTGTATGGTGTTCTTCTAAGATGCATAGATGGTAGAATGACTTTTTTTTTTTTTTAAGATTTATTTATTGAAAGGCAGAAAGAAAAAAAGAGAGAGAGAGAGATCTTCCATCCACTGGCTCACTCCATAAATGGACACAATGGCTGGGTTGTGCCAGGCCAAAGCCAGGGACCAGGAACTGCATCCAGGTCTCCCATGTAGGTAGGCAGGGGCCCAAATACTTAGGCCATCTTTCACTGCTTTCCCAGGCACATTGGCGGGGAGCGGATCTCTCTGATATGAAATGCTGGCATCACAGGTGACAGGTTAATCTGCTGTGCCATAATGCTAGCCCTATGGACTGACTTTTAGTTGCCTAGATTTGGATTTTTCTATAGGTAAAGACTGGTTTTCTTTTTTTCTTTTTTAAAGATTTATTTATTTGAAAATCAGAGTTACAGAGAGGAAGGGTTAGTTCTTTTTCATCTCTTGGTTCACTCTCCAGATAGCCTCAATGGCCAGGGCTGGCCAGGAGTTTCTTCCAGTTCTCCCATGTGGCTGGCAGGAGCCCCAAAGACTTGGGTCATCCTCTACTGCTTTTCCCAGGCCATTAGCAGGGCACTGGATCAGAAGCGGAGCAGCCAGAACATGAACTAGTGCCTGTATGGGATGCTGGCATCACAGGTAGAGGCTTAACCAACCCGCTATGTCACAGTGCAGGCCCCAAAGACAGGTTTCTTATAAAGTTGCATTTAACAATAAAATTAAAAAAGGAAACAAATGTAATAATCATTAATCCAAGTACATAGAGGAGTTTTTTTAAATTGGATTTTTTTTAAAGACTTATTTATTTATTATTTGAAAGGCAGAGTTATATATAGAGAGAAAGACAGAGACAGAGAGGTCTTCCATCTGCTGGTTCACTCCTCAAATGGCCACAATGGCCAGTGCTGGGCTCATCCAAAGCCAGGAGCCAGGAGTCTCCTTCAGGTCTCCCACATGGGCACAGGGGCCCAAGGACCTGGGCAACTTCTGCTATCCCAGGCTACAGCAGAGTGCTAGGTTGGAAGTGGAGCAGCTGGGACCAGAACTGGCGCCCATATGGGATGCCGATGCTGTAGGTGGCAGCTTTACCCACCAAGCCACAGTGCGGTCCCCCACAGAGGATCTTAACCCAGGGTCCATGGACAGGTGACTAGGGATCTGTGAATACCCTGAAACATCATGAAAATTGTTTCCTTTAAGAAGAATTTCAGAGGGAGATAAGTGGTCACAGCTATCAGTGTCTTAAAGGGGTCTGTGGTTCCTAAATACTTAAGTAAACTTTACTTAAAAGATATCCTGGCCCCCCATGCAAGTGGATCACACTGTCTTAGCTGTTTTCACAGCAGTAGTAGTGAAATATCGGGAGTTCCTCTCCTATGAACTGTGGATCCTTGTTCCCTGTAGACAAGTTGATTGTGGCACTCACTGAGCTGCCCCGTAATTCTTTCTTTGTGTGTCTGTCACTTCCACTGGACAATGGTACCTTCAGAGTACTCACAGTCTTCTGAGAGACTAGTACAGCAGTTACCCAGTAAGTATCTGCGAGCTTTTCCTCTTTATTGTTTATTGTTCCTGGTTTGCAAGTCTGTCAGTCCTGCGAAAAATGTGCTCCACTGGGAGGGTGAGTGTCTATCTACCACTGCATTCTACAAAGCTGCAGGATGACTGCTGAACCAAACTGATTTGTTTCTACCCAGAAAGTCTGTGGTTCCTCTTGGCTAATACCTTGCTTAGATCCACACTTACCAGATCCTGTCTTTAAAAATCAGCCCTGAGTTCCAGCAATGCAATTGCTTCCCAGCTGTCTCTGAAAATGTTACAGAATTTCAGCTGTGTTTTACTGAGTTCTTGAAGCGTTTTTCCTGTCCGCCCTGGGCTAGTCAGTCCACTTCTGCTTCCATTCCCTGGGTAAGCAGCTGCGAACCTATCCTGCTATACTCAATTCTCCTCACAAGCTTAGTTCTCAGCCCTGCAGATTTTGCAACACCACAGCTTCAGTGCTCCAGAACAAACACAAGCCTTGGTGAAGACCAGCCTTGTCATTTGATGTCAGGCATCGTTTGCAATATTTTATTTGCCTCTGCATTCCAGAATTGACTAATCACCAGGAAATAGTTCTTACTTTTATGTTTAAAAAGCTGATATAAAATGTTACAGTAGTCTTATCCCTAAATACATGTTAGACATATAAATCCTGTTACATTTTTTGAGTTCACTCTTGCTTTACTATTGCTATTCAAATGAGTTGACAAATGCTTATTTTAAAGTTTATAATTTACGATAAAAATAAAGCAGTTCCTATAGGAAGAATAAATGTACAGGCACCTGTAAAAACAACTCCAGTTCTTTCTCCTCTCGAAAGCAATGGTTAATGTGAAAGATCTGTCTCTTCTTATGCCAGGTTCCAGCTGCTTCACTTTGTTTAAAACTGACTTCAAAGTTTAAACACTGTCCTGTCCCAACAAATAGCCTCCCCCGGATGGAATTACCTCCAATACTATACTCAGTGCTCTGAATACCACACCTGCAGCCTTTTAATTCGACGTTTTTGAAACTTTCCAAAGGGAAATGACGGGATTTTTTCTCTGTATCCTAACTTCTGCCTTTTGGAGAGTTTAGTGCACAGAGGGAGTTCTATACCTGGGATGAATTTATAGATATTTTAGAAGAATTTTAAAATGGTATTAGTTTTTCTACACTGATTACAAGGAAAATAAATCATAAGGAAATGAAAGAAAATATGAACGTTTCCAAGTTCAACATTTAAAGTAAAAATCTTACCTGTAAATACAGATGCAAGATACAGATTGGGCTCAATTTGTGTTCGATCCATATCACTTGGTGAAACTATATTTTTAAAAAAATATTTTAGAAGACAATCAGTTAAGCATCGAAATATTCACAATGCACTTCTATTCTCTATGAACACAAGCCAAACGTACTCCCACAGTTATTCTCATAAAACCAGGCAAACAGAACCCTAATCCAGTGGCCGCAATGTAAAGAAGGAAGTTAAACAGTTAAATTTTAATGACCGTGAGTAGAAAAATACCAAACGGAACACCTTTAGGCATCAAAGATGAGGGAAAGGAGGAACAAAGGGTCAAGAGAGAATTTTTGATTCCTACTAAATGAATTTCTTCTAAGGTTAACAGTTGTCACAGATTCTCTTACTAAAGCATTTAATCGTTACCAAAAGAGGCTTAGGATCTCTGTTCACTAGGCCAGTCTGGGCACACTGCTCAACACAGTCGGTACAGAAAAACTAATGAAGTTGTCAGTAGGCACAACAGAAAAGGACATTTATTAATAAACCAAAAGCAAAATTGAATATATTAAATGAAATAGGCTAGAGGAAGAACCTTTCACGGCCAGAGAATTAGGAAGCAGAGCAGAGACAGAGGACACAGTGCCATGGCACCCTGGTACCATGGGCACCAGGGCGTGGGTCCACACTGATATACTGTTACCTGTACTCTGAAATACAGTCAATGGTAGCCATCAATAACTGTTGTTTCAAACAAATTCTTAGAGGCAAAAAAGGTATAATATGTTACAATCAGTATTTCTTTTCTCATTTTTTTATGAGAGAAAAATCAGTCATCTCTCAAGCTTCTTTTATTTCAGAAAAATTCCCAGCGGATTTTACAAGATGATAAGCTAGTTAAGTGCACAAGACTATAATCATTAAACATTTCATTACACTGAGCAGTATTTTCTCACTGGGGACAAACATATTAAACTACTGCATGGATCTGGAGTTGTGGTGCAGTAGGTTAAGCTGCTGCTTGTGATACCAAATCCCATGTAGGAGCCCGGGTTCAAGTCTTGGCTTTCTCTCCTTCCAATCTGGCTCCCCTGCTAATGGGCCTCTAAAAGCAAAAGATAACCCAAGTGCATGGGCCCTTGCCACTCAAATGGGAGTCCAGGATGGGGTTCTGGCTTCCTGCTTCAGCCTGGCCTAGCCTCTGCCACTGTAGACATTTGGAGAGTGAACCAGCACACAGACGATCTCTGTCACTCTCTCTCTCAAATAATAAAACAAATCTTAAAAACTAAATTGCAGCTGTCCTGTAAAAAACTCATAAAAGTATGCTAAAATTAGATGCAATCCAGAGTAAGAAAAAATAAAGCTAAAAAGAGTAACTTTAGAAGAAAATGTAACTTTCTAAGGATTGTAGATACGAGTTACTTGTATGTATCTTCAAATGGACCAAAACTGCACAGCCAGTTTTGATGTGGTTTAAACAATCTGTGAATGCACTAGAAGTGTCCCCTGTGATGCTGCCTCTCTGCCTGGAGATTTGCGCGGACCAGAGAGAGGGAGGGAGGGTCCCGACTGATCCCTCAGGCTTCCCGGCCCTGCCTCTCTGCGATCAGACCCCTCACAGGCCCCTCCCACTGAACAGCCATTTGTTTGGGGCAAGTAAAATGAAGTGGAGATCTTTTCCGAGTCTCAGGTTCCTCAAATGTAAAATGTGAATAGTACCCAACTAATCGAGTTGCTGAAGAATCTTCACAGACTAGGAAGTGTACATATTGTAACTATTATACATTATCGTTGTTATTATAAACATAAACAAAAGTCTCCTCAACCAAATCTGGGGGAGAATCTTGATTTCTGCAATGATAGCTCCTAAAAATAAAATTTTAAAAAAATCTCAAAGTCAGAGTCACTATTTGTAATTTACCTTTTTAAAGATTTATTTATTTATTTGAAAGGCAGAGTTACAGAGAGGGAGGCAGAGAGAGAGAGAGAAAGTCTTCCATCCACTGGTTCACTCCCCAAATGGCACCAACGGCCGGAGCTGGGCCAGTCTGAAGCCAGAAGCCAGGAGCTTCTTCCAGGTCTCCTATGTGGGTGCAGGGGCACAAGCACTTGAGCCATCTTCCACTGCTTTCCCAAGTCATCAATAGAGAGCTGGATTGGAAGTAGAGCAGCCGGCACTCGAATCAGCACTCATATGGGATATGCTGGCACTGTAAGCTGGGGCTTTACCCACTATACTACAGTGCTGGCCCCTGTAATTTACTCTTATAATAAATAGTGGTTTCACAATTCTCAGTGGTGGAATAATATCGAAGATTCCTGGAAGGGGAAGTACTGTATCCTGCAGCTGTGGATTAAAGTGGCAAACGTAGGGTAGGCATCTGGCACAATAGTGAAGCTTTGTGAGTGCCTGGGTTCAAGTCTCAGTTCTGCTCTGCATTCCAGCTTCCAGCTAACGCACATCCTGGGAGGCAGCAAAGATGGCTCGTGTACTTGGGTCTTTGCCATTAATGTGGAAGACCTGGATGGAGCTCCTGGCTCTTGGCTTCAGGCTGCCCCAGCCCTGACTGCTGTGGCATCTCCCAACAGATGGGAGATCTCTGTCTCTCTGCCTTTCAAATAAATAAAAATTAAGAAAATAGTGGCAGACAGAGCTATAACCAGGTCAACACAATTTGAGCACTGCTGTCGAGTTTGTATGTCCTTATACGTCAAAATCAGGAAATACAAAACTCACTGGTATTTAAAGAATGAAAAGAGAAAATTTCTAATCATTTGAGCCATAGATTTCTACTAACATTTATGTATCTGGGAGGCAGCAGATGATAACTACCTACCACCTAGGTTGAGTCCCTGTCACTCACCTAGGAGATGCAGATGGAGTTCTGGGCTCCTGGTTTTCACCTGGCCCAGCCCTGGCTATTGCTAGCATTTGAGGAGTAAACCAATGGATGGGAGATTGATCTCTCTCTCTCTCTCTGTATCCCCCCCCTCTCTAGCTGCGACTTTATCTACCTCTCAGATGAAAACAAATATTAAAAAACATAGATTTTAAATAGGTAATGTCCAGAATTTAAAACAAATCTAATAAATCAAAAAAAAAAAACCATAAACATATACATATAAAACAAATCTAATAAACATCTAAAATTAATAATATTCAGGATAGCTGCCATTTTACACTAATTTGAGTTACTTGAAAAAAAAACACATAAAAATTCTACTACGTTATTTAAAAATATATAAAAATAAGTTAGCACTGTTTAAAACAAATAATCTGGTCAGATCTTACATCTATACATCTATAGGTACATCAACCCTCAGATAACTGTATTTGCAGAATTAAGCTCTTGGCATAAAAGCTTCTATCCAACTTCCAAGAAGTTGATTGCTAATTTAGAAAACAGGAGACTAACATGCCTTGAATGTAGATGATTTATCTGAGTAATGTACATTTAATTATTAAAACTCATTAAAAGACACTGAAGTACTTGAGTGTTTTTAGTGTGGTGTTATGACAAAGTGCTTGCCTTTTAGGGGCAGGAATGTCTGGAGGGACATTCCTGCGTGAACATGTGGTTGAGAACTGAGAGACTATGTTTGAGCAGACAACTTTATCTGTAAGACACTTCCTGCTGGTGGAGCGGCCTGTGAATCAGCTACTAAAGCAAATTCCTCTCAGATGTGGCTTTATGAAAGATGCCACAAAGACTAAAAGAAGCTTTAAAATTACAATAGTTCTATCTCATGAAAGAAGTAGCACATGTGGTATGAATTCACGTATGTGAAGTACAGAAACAAGAACCTGAATCTATGCAGTTAGAAGTCAGAATGGTGGTTTCATCCTCATGGAGGGTGGAGGCTATGTTTGGGGGAAACATGGGGGCCTTCGAGAGTGCTACAATGTTCTGCTTCTAGACCTAGATACTGGTTGTCAAGTGTACTTTATGTGTGAAAATTCTTCGATCTAAGCTCTACACTTGGGTACACTTTTCTGTATATAGATTATTTTTTCATAAAAAATTACATTTTTAAAAAAGCATAGGTTTTGGCACTTTCTTCTCACTGGAAATACCAGTGAGCTGAAAAAATTCAGAAGCAGACGAAGAGTCTTGTGCTCTGATCTGCCTCTCAGCAGAGCTTGCTAGCTCAGCTACTTGATGCTCTCTGAGAGCCACTCGACTGAACGAAAGCACAAACTTTAATCCAATTTTAACTCATCTTGAAAGCATTTTGAAATCCTAATATGTTCTATAAATGCATGTTCGAGTTTATTTTTGGTATAATAAAAATTTGCTATTTCAGTGTATGCCTACAAAGTAAAGGCATCATAAATTCACATAAGCTCAACTGTAACTCTTGCTCAACAATAACTCCTATAATTCTATCCTGACTACATTAACATCAGGCACAGAGAAAGTCACTATTATAGCATGCTTACAAATGACATTGGATAGTGATCAAAACTAAAGTCAAAAGGCATCTCCCTACTGTTGCTGAGTAGTTTGAAACTAAGAGCCTCAAAAATTAATATACAGAAAAACCATTTTCTGAGATGGAAATCCTTCCTAAACATGAAAATGTCTCTCAAATTATGGCTTGTGACCATCACCAAAAATACACTGTCTTATCTGTGTAGTCTTTACAAGGAGTTTTGCCATACCTAACTATTCCTAACTAAATTTGGGAACAAAAATTAACCATGACATAGTGACCAGTTCACTTCCCCAAGGCCAGACCCAGTAACTTTTGAAAGAGTGAAAGAATGAAAAATGAGCTTTCAAGTACAGGAAGCCACTAGAAAATAAGAACACCACCATTCCATATCCTAAAATAAGAGCTCTAAAGATTTCTGTTGAACAGTAAGTTTCAGGGTGAGGGAGAAGGGAAAGAACGGGAGGGGAGAGGGGGTGTCTGCTCACTGTACACATGACACCAATGGGAACCAGGGCCGTCCAAGTTCTACGTTACCATTACTCTGGGTAATAGCTCCAAGCTGTGAGGCACAGCTGTACGGGCCCTGCCAGCGAGGCCATCGCAGCAGTGCTTTGATAGCATGGGGCCCCAAAGTGTCAGG